ACCCTAACCCTAACCCTAACCCTAACCCTAACCCTAACCCTAACCCTAACCCTAACCCTAACCCTAACCCTAACCCTAACCCTAACCCTAACCCTAACCCTAACCCTAACCCTAACCCTAACCCTAACCCTTGGCTTGATGGAAATCCTGCTAGGGTTGTCAAGAATCAACCAGGGTTAAGCAGTGGTGGGTTAGGGTTAGGGGTCATCCGGTTCAAGACCCTGGCGTGGACAGCGATGCGTCTAAAACCCGTACATGCTAGCGCTGGCAATGTCATCTCTCCCCTCTTACCACCACGCGTCCACAAACCATGTTAGACTCCAGTTCACTGTCATCCCTATCGCCCTCTCCGGAGCCGACACCGTCTAGTCTCATGCTTGGTCCGCGTGCTTCTTTGCGACGGAATGCTGCCAGAAAGGCCGCTGACAACGTTAGAGAGCAACTGGTTAGTTCGGACGATGAAGACGAAGAGGGCAGCAGCACCGTGTACACCACAGAGAACGTTCATTCAAAGCCGCACGCACGATCTTTCCTCGACACTAGCCACCATCGAGTAGGCTATGGGAAACGGTTAGGTCCCTCAAGACGTCGAACATCGCCAGCATATACCTCGCAGGCTACGAATCCTCCAACCGCACCTTCTTCTCCAACAGCTGTTCGCGTGCACAGCTCACCTACCACAATCAATGCTCCTTCTCAAACCACTCCCCCCAAAACCATGACGCGTGATGCTCTGTTTGCATCGTCCCCTTTAACTCCTTTCACACCTTCGGTGCCTTTGACGCCATCGAAACGCCGTGCCCGTGGTCGAACGTTGGAAGAGTCACCCTCTCCAACCAAACGAGCGCGTCTATCAATGTCTCAACCGATTATGTCTGATTCAACCCGAACAGTCCAGTTGACTCCATCGAAGAGAAAGATTATGGATGATAATTGGAGTCGAGAGCGGTTAGAAGGCGTTGTTTGGGTCAGACTAGAACTTGGGGGCCGTCCCGTAGAAGGGAACGAGGGGCCAGATGGAGGATACTGGTGGGTGGCTAAAGTGAGTGACAACACTGTAATTGTGCGACTGGTTTATCTGATGGTGACAAAGCTGAACTGCGAAAGCTGGAGGACACCACTCCTCCTGGGACTGATTGGTGACGATGGACACCTACCGAATCGCTTGCTTACCTTGACTTCGCCATCGTCGGCGAATCTTCTCACTTTCAACGATCCACGGACTATGCTGCCTAGATTTGACATCTACACTTCCCGACTCCCAGTTGACGCGCATACCCAGGAAGATGGCACCTCAAAACAGAAAGCAACGAAGCAGAAACCAAACAAAAGGGAAGAAACCCGTTGGGCGAGCATGATGGCTCTGGCTCATGCTCTGCATGAAGACGATTTACCGGAGATAGAAGACGCACTGATAGAACCTATTAAACCTAACTTTGATGCTACGAACGGTTCGCAAAGGACATTAAAACGGAAGGAGAGAGTTGAACGTATGCTTGAGGAAGAAAGGTCTGATGTCCTGCAGCAGGTCATTGATGCAGGCCCAGATTCCACGTGAGGCTTATTTTATGACGAGGTATTTGATTTGTGCTGAGGATTATCCTTACAGGCTGGAGATTCCCGGGGAGCTCGTTCTTGCACAAGATCGAAGTACTGCTTTCTGGCCCGCTATTATTCATGCATACGAGCCTGCTACCGCGACAAAAGGAAGAAATCGATTCGGACGATATCGGGTGGAATACATGGATCGCACGTTTGGGCATTTGAAGCGAGATCAGTTCTTCTCACGGGACGAAGACGGGTTTGCCACTTGCAAAGTGCGTTATGTTTCGGTTCCAGGCGAAGTTATCTGACATCAGTCAAGTTGGGGACGTTTACAAATCAAGCTGATGATGAAACGGATGATGAACGAGAGGCCAACCGGCCTCCTACACCGACACCTTTGCCTCCTCCTCCTCCCAATGTCGTGGCTGCGCTAAGTATGCCCATTCGCGACTTGTTGCGTCACACTCGGAATGTGCTCCAGCTTGTCATTTTGTCTAAATACCCCCCAAGCATTGATCGTTGCGCTGCGTTTTACAAGGGCGGCCGCGACAGGAAGAACCTTGCAACATTCGGTACAGAAATGGGCAGTTTTGAAGCAAATACTAGGGCTGCTATTCGAAAGGAAGTTATACGATGGGCTCTAGGCACGACTTCATCCGGCCCATCCCTGGGGGCGGACGCAGGCCTTGTAGAGGTGTCAAGTGCGCCGTCAACAGAACAAGAGACAGCCGTGGAAAGCCAATCGAGCGAAGAAGACGAGCGGCAAGGGGAATACAAGCAGCTACACAACGCACCGCCTGCCGCACCTGATGACAACATGAAGGTTGGCGGAAACATGAAAGTTACGATTCAGCAACGACCAAGAGGTTGTGAAGCATACGAAGCGCTAAGCGAGCCTGAGCGGCTACAGGTAAGTGTGGCCTCTGTATCAAAGCAGCTTTGCTAAGTCGTCATCTGAGTTCTCGATTGACATTTTGGTGCCTGAGGCTGCCATGCAACTGCTCGCATGGCACGGTGGATATCGATTCAGCATTCCGGGGCCGTCAGACTCCAGCGGTGACCTCTCTCCTGAGGTGATTGAGACAGAAAACAACCTCCACAACACACTTGCCCAGCTCGCCTTGATACGACCGGCAAGTGAGTGGGTTAACAGGGTCACGTCTGTTCGAAGTTCAAGGCGGGCGGCTTTGGAATCCAAAGGTGTCATTCAAACAGAAGAAAACGTTCCTGAGGTAAAGAGATTGACTGGGTCGTTTTCAAGACCCAACGCGGGCAGAAAGGTGTAGACAAGCCTTAAAACGGCGCTGAGACAGGGTTATTCATGCTTGCATTAGATTAATGGAATGTGGTTCGTCGTCTGGATATACGTCTATGCTGATGCTACAGAATGAGTTTTTGTATGGTACAAGGAAAAAGTCCCAGAACGACAGAACGACAGAACTACCGCGGTGCACCTCCTCTAATAAAAGAGGATGAACGAGGGACGATCGTTGTGAGGTTAACCTGGGAGACATTGCGAGAAAGAGACAGTACAGGAAGACCAGGATTCAACGCGCTTGACCGAGTTGGCGAAGGGGGTGACGCCGACTCTGCAAGGACTGCAGGAGACGCTGCGCGCTGAACGATGCTGGCAGCAGAGCCATTGCTGAAAGTTGTAAGCCCGCCACGCTGTAAACTTGACGCAGTCGATATCTGCGCCGGGGGGGCAAGACGAACAGGCCGCAAGGTAGGTTCTGCTGGCAGTCGTGGTGACGTAGGCCCAAGTACATTGCGCCGAAGCCGCCGTAGAGCGTGCCGAACAAATGCTGGGAGCCCTTTTGAGTTTGCAGAACCATTAGGGTACGGGGTCAATGGAGGTGAATCCAGGTCATTGATTCCACTGAAGCCACCGCCTTCCATCGCATATGCCTGAGCATAGTCGTAACCATTACGCGGGCGGAAGATTTTGCGATACACAGCTTTCAGCCGAGAACGAAATACGTATGCGATAATCAGCGACAACAGGCTGAAAAGGATAAGAGAGATGGGAGAAAACCCAAATATCGGTTTGGTTAATGATGGATGAAGATGCTCTTTGAGGGTATCTTCAATATCGCCCAAGAAAGGTAGTCCGTCATCATCGAAGTCCGGATCGAGATTCCCAATTCCAGGTGTTCCGATATACGTGGTCGGAATCTCGCTGACAGCCTCCAGGACCATCATGCCAAGCGTCCATGTGATAGCCGTGTCTCCCACCGAATCCAGGCTCTGGAAGGCCGGCGCACCGAGCCCTTTCTCATCGGCTTTGTTGCTGAACTTGTCGCCCGACGTCTGGCCTCCGGTAGTCGAATTCCCGCCTGGATCCACTATGCGAGGGAGACCTATGCCTTCATGCAAGACATTCACGATCCATGCGGCTTTGAAACATTGTAGCTCGAGGCGAGCCAAGTCTACGTCACGTCGGCTATGAACGCGTATGTCCGTCGCCGTCGGTGCCAGTGCTGACTTGGAAGCCAAATGATGGGCGACAATGCTATCCCAATCTTTCGAGCAGAAGTCTATCGCGGCTCGTTCATACTGTACAAAGTCGTATGCGCCGCCAAGACCGAAGACATGCTCCGATGAATACCAATACTCGGACACGCCGATGAAACGCGAGACGGAGAAGTCGATCGGTGGCACCGAAACGCCGTTGAAGAGACAGTTTGTATCCGGACATGGCGCATTTTTGTTGAGAAGCGGTTCGACTAGTCGAAGACACTGAGGGAATGACCCGGTACCCTTCAGTGTATGTGGCGTTTTAGAGTGATCAGACGCAGGGCCGAGGATGACGGGGGCTTCGTACGAAGTGAGGTCGCGAGGTAGACAAGGATCAGGCACAATGTCGCTGGGAGAATCTTGGTCAATGCCGTACAGCTGATCCCAGTGCGAGACAATGCTGCCGACGTATCGCTCTCGCGCTTGATTGGTACCGTATCCAAGCCACGTTGTGACAAAAACTTGGTGGTGCAGCTCTTCACCATCTAGAAGGCGTAACCGAACGTCCTTGAGCGGCAGTTGGGGATTCTTGCGATATTCTGCGCCGGGTTCGAATGCGATCTGTGTTGACGCGCCACCCATATCCAAAAAGCCGTATGTCGCCCGCCTACCCTCGTGACGAGAGAACCCGTCGAGGAGATAGTTTACGGCTATCCAGCCGTACAGACCCTCGTCCTCGCCCGTGATGACGCGAATGCTTCCACCACACGGCCCTTGAGGGGAAGCGGGCTTGACCTTGAAGTTTGAATGGAATTTGAGGAAGGTGCAAGCCGCTTCGATAATCTGTTCTTGTTGTTCTACAGCAAGCAGTCGCATGCCTGCCGTGGCAAGGAGATAGATTGGGGTAGATTGGTGTAGTGACGGGGGAATCTGGTTCTGAGCATGTTCAAGAAGACTGGAGAGATACGGTCCAACCATTGTCGGCTCCAGAGCGAAGCTCGATATTCCTGGGAGATGGTCAGCCCCCTCGATGCAAGGTATCCCGAACAGTCACCTACCTGGTTCAATCTTTGCAACCCAATCATCCGAGTTCTTCGTCCCCTTCTCTACTCTTGGGAGTACCGCAAGTTCGGCATCTTTCCGCTCCGTCCGTTCGACCCTCACATCCTTCCATGAGTATATCTGCAGCCGAGAACCTGACGAGCCGGCGTCGATTACAATTCCGAACCTTCGGGACTGCAGCCATGGATCTGACTGAGTAGGTGGGGGCATGACCGGACGTTCCGGTGGCTACCCAAGCCAGATGAAAGGGAGGAGAGATAGTTGTGTAGGTGGTAGATTGATGTGAAGCAGGAGGGGATATGCGTTTTCGGTGTTGACCGTTGTGGACGGCTAAGCTCGAAGTGGCTGTGCTGCGGACGGTCAGGGTTCATCCGCTTTCCCCGCCCGGGTTTAGAGCCGAATTTGGTCTGTGTTTGCTGTGATGCATCAGGATACGAAATGAAAGATGACTTGACTTGACTATTCATCATTTTACTATACAAAGCGCTTGTTCTCATTGGAGATCCCTCTCACAGTTAGTTCTACCACAAGAATGACCCTGACTTTCCCTACACCCTCTTCCCTCAAACATATACCAAAACTGATCGTATTCGATCTCGATTACACCTCTGGCCCCTATGGATAGATACGCATTCTTTTGGAGCGCCATACACCCACAATAAAGCAACTAACTCAGCCATCGACCGACGTGAGTACGCAGTACAGCTGTTTCCCGACGTAGGAAAGGTATTTGCCTACATTCGCGATACCCTGCAATGCGACATCGCCATTGCCAGCAGGACGAGTGCTCCCGACAGAGCTTCAGCCGTTCTCCGTCTCATAGAACTAGAAGACGGCACAAAGATATTCGACAATGTCGTCCATCCTCAGATGTATCCTGGATCGAAGATGTCACACATGCGCCGCCTTGCCAAAGTCACTGGCATCGAATGTCACGAAATGCTGTTTTTCGACGACGAAACCCGGAATAAGGAGGTTGAGGAGCTCGGCGTAACGTTCATTCTGGTGGATGAGGAGGAGGGAGTTACCGAGCATGCGTTCTGCCGAGGTCTGTTGACATTCGAGAAGAGGAGGAAGCTGTGCAATCTCAAGCCCGACGACGGGGATATGAAGGACAGGCGCCCACCGCGCCGTGGCAAACATGGATCGCACTAGATTCGTCAGGTTCACATCCCCGCATCTTTCGTAGAATGATTACTGTAGAACGTGTAGATGCATAGACACGATATCAGTACATAATCCAGAACCTAGTTCAAGGGGACGATCATAGCCCAGCGACCGATGGGGGCCGACTTGTCACTTGGCTCGTAGTGTGACTTTCGTTTCCCGCTAGCTCCTTGACAGCTCCCGCAGCGATGCGACCCTGTGAAACCGGTCCTCCGTTGAGCGCCAATTGGCTGTATGGGGTGGCACTGTCCATCAGATGCTGGATGTCGTCATGGATAATCTTGCAAAACAAGTCGAGATCGAGATCTGCTTGAATGTGTTACAGATGGATCGGAAAGCACCTTGCGAGAATGACTCGCCGTTTTGATCGTATCCAAAGGGTTGCTCTAACTCGTCGCCAGCGGCTAGAAATCCGAGGTAGAAGAAGGATGCGCAGCATACACCAAGCACGGTGAGCCAGGCGAAAGTACGCGCAAGCTGGAAAGGCAAGAAGAACAAGTATAGCCATACAGTACTGACCGACGTCAGATATTTGAATTCGAGAAACCAAACATATATACTGCCTTAGGTGAACCGAATAAACGCTTAGACACGGGTTAGATGAGTTCGTCACTACGATAACGGCAGATCCACGTACAAAGGCAACGGCGTCGTCAGAATTTTCTCGCACTCTACAACAATGATTACCACTTGAGCAGACACAACCAATGACATACCTGTAAGGCTAGCTTCGAATTGCTGAAGAGCTCCATACAAACCACCCAGGGGGCTTCCAGTAACGGTGCTGCGTGCGTCAAGAGTTGCGACCCATTCCGATAGACAACCCAAGACCTCCATGGGGATGTTATCACCTCCCCCTGCAACCCGCGGCCGATGCTTCGACATCCTAGCCTTTCTTCTTATCTCTTTTTTGGCCTTGCTTTCAAACTCACGGCAAAGAAGCAGATCGAATAGATGGAGGAAGATGGTCTCGAATGGGATGAGTTCGGTTGACCACCTTGTCCTCGCCGACGCCTTTGCTGGAAGGAGCGGTTGAGAGGGTTCGGTTCCCATTCGGTGCGGGATGCCATTGTGCGAATGGTCTAGTTGTGTATATGCGCCGTTTAAGAGGCGATCAGTAGGCTTAGTAACCTGGAATTGGATAAAAGGCGGGATCTTTGCGGCAGGTTGCACTGTGATGGGTGCAAGAGCGGGCCCTTCCCTCGAATTGGGAAGTACTTCTTCGACAATTGTGGGCAGAGCGAGAGAAGCCATCGAAGACGGAGAAGCAACCAACTCGGCAGATTCTGACACTGAGTGTGGTACGGCCCAAACAAGTTCATAAAGGTCCTCTGAATAATTGTGTCAGATATGAACGAGGTTATTCAGAGTGCTGACCATAATATACCCTGCAAAGAGACGTCATTAATAAACAGTCTAAGAAAGGACAGCTCGACGCACCCCATTTCACCCCTTAGGTGATGCTTAAGAGAAATCGCATAACTAGTGTGGAGGTAAGTTGCAAGACGGCGATGAGCGGCAGACACTATACTCACGCTTGTACCAAATCCAGCGCGATCTTCTTCTCCTCGAGCACCAGCTCAGCCTCCTGCATCGAGATACGGATGTCTGCGTCTTTGGGCGGTGCGAGTCTTGGCGGTACATGATACCAGATAAGCCGAGAGATCGTCCTACTGTTGCGCACAACATCAGACCAAGCGGTCCGTCCCATCCAGTAACGATCGTAACCGCTAGAAGCGCGGTAGGAAATGACGAAGCCGATGACCACACCCATCACGGTGAGCATGACTGAATCAATGGATAAATCCAAGATGGCATTCTCCGCCAGATAAACGATTACTGAGAATCAGTTAGTATCGGCGCTTGTTTCTGTTGAAGGTTGGACGTACCTGCACTGAGTGCGGTCTGCACGAGGACAGCGGGCCATACTTTCCATCTGAGCCAGCCGTCAAGGTACAATGACATGACATTGCTTCTAAAACTCACATTACTGTTCCAGGTTTGATAAAAGCAAAGGTCTGGAGTTCTGCCGTTGGAACAAGGGGAACGAAATAAGCATTCAAGTGTGTCCCGAAGGATGGCAGCAGGCGGTGAGATGGTTTCTTCGCCTTTCCTCTTGCCATGGCGTTGTGGGTATCTGAGTGAATGGTATGAAGACAAGGAGTGCCAGACAGCGTGCAACTGCCTGGCTGGCTGATATGTGTTGCGTCAAGTTTTCATTATCATGAATTTTGCGTGGTAGGAGCATGTCAGGGTTCTTCGTTCTTGCCACTTTAGGCTGGCCAGAATGCATAGCAACGGGCGTCGACACGTTGATGATAGACCGCACGGTTGTTGCGACGGTGATAAGGTGAAATAAATTGTATGTAATTGTCCGATATGCGAATGAATTTGATAGGTGCAAGGCTTGAAGTGGATGAATATTTGAAGTGGTCGTCGAGTGTAGGAGTAAGGGCCCTTAGGGTTACGTTGCGTATTATTAGCTGTCGTGTGCATTCAATCTCAGCGCTGTCGTCCTCCAGCAACAATGCGTTGGCCATCGCAGCTCTCACTTCTAATTCCTCAGTTGTCGATGAGCAGTTTCGCACCTCCCAAGGTGTACACGCCCTCTACAAAGTCGTTCGCGCTGAAGGAGGGGAATGATATCCTCACTCCGAAGGACATGCTCGAGCTCCCGAGGCCCGGCAGCGCGGTCGCCAACCCAGCAGGAGATCTGGCATTCATCTCAGTCTCGGAATATTCTTTTGAAATCAAAAAGTAATTGCATCTTATTATATGCACAGTCAACTTGAAGAAGTCTGATCACCTTCGCAGAATGAATTCGACCATCTATATCGCCTCTCTCGATGACACGGACATGCCTGCCACCTTCCCTGTCCTGAACGGTGGTGACGCTTTCTGGCTCACCGACCGCACTCTTGCCCACGTCATCTCCGAGTCCGGTGGTCAGGCCATCTATGCTATCTCTTTCAACTACAGCACCGAGCCAAAGTCTCTCACCCCAGACTCGCCCGTGTTCATCGGTCACCTCCCTCCCAGCCCCGCTTCCAACTTCAAATACAAGTCAGGCATCCTTGCCTTTTCTGCAAACGTATGGGAGGATGGTGATCTGTTCACCACCCCCGAACTAGACAAGCAGCGCTCAAAGGAAGGGACCGGAACGAGCGCAAGGGTGTATGAGGGCGGATATCCAAGGCACTGGGATACGTGGACGACTCCCGGGAAAGAGAGCCAGCTGTTTACTGTCAGCTTGACTAGCTCTGGGGAGATAGGGGAGGAGAAATGGTCGTTGGGAGACGCATATGTTGCACCCTTGAAGGGTACGAAGCATGTAGGTGATAAGTATAGTGCTTTGTCCTCTCACAACACTAATATCCCTCTTCTTAGTACACGCCAGTCGAGCCATTTGGCGGCAGTGATGACTTTGATCTCTCCTCAACTCATCTCGTTTACACGGCAAAGGATCCAGAACTACCATATCCCATCCATACTCGCCAGAATGTTCGTACTTGTCCCTTATAGAGACCCCACGTCTAAATCGGTTACAGGTTTACATCGTCCCCGTCACTGGTGGGGAACCTCCTCGCCAGCTTACGGCTGGAAAACAAGGAGCGACGCATACGCCCGTCTTCAGCAACGATGGTACGAAAGTGGCGTGGACAGAGTTGAGGAAGGACGGTTATGAATCCGACCGGTGAGTATTTCCCGACGTAGAGCCCAATATGAAGCTCAAGCTTGCACAGTGCCCGTGTGATGGTGTATGACCTGGAGAAGGATGTTCGTTTCGGTATTACCGAGAAGTGGGATACATCGCCTTCCGCTCTCATCGTGAGTATGCTCGTTCGGTGCCTTGTTATACGCCTCATCTTCGCAGTTCTCCCCGAACGATGCCTCCATTTATGCCCTCTCAGGCGATCAAGCTCGTGGAAAGCTCTATGTCATCCCTTTGCCAGTCACCCCTTCTTCGACCGGGTCCATCGATGCGTATCCAGTACCCTTGGTGGAAGAGCACACTGTCAGTAGTGTTCAGCCGCTACTTGATGGTCGCGTGCTCTTCTCCCAGAACAGTCTCACGCATCCTTCGGAGGTGTTCCTGCGCGAGAAGAATGGCAAGATCTCCCAGATCACTCAGTTGACTGCAAAGAAGCTCGCAGGTCAGCCGCATGCGTTGTTTGTGTAATTGCATATGGCTCATTCAACAACAGGTAAATCACTCAGCCCTGGGCATGAGTTTTGGTTCAAAGGCGCAGAGGGCGTGAACATCCAAGGATGGGTTAATCTACCGCCTGGATTCCGGAAGGGTGACAAGGCTAAGTGGCCCATGGCATTCCTCATTCATGGTGGTCCGCAGGGTGAGTGTGCTGCTCCTGAGGAGTACACTCGCTCACCTTCAATGCAGGTGCCTGGGAGGATTCCTGGTCTACTCGTTGGAATCCCAACGGTATGCTATTCTCGATCAGTGATGATCGTCGCTGATAATGTTCCATACAGTCTTCGCGCAGCAGGGATACGTTACGGTCACCGTAAATCCCACAGGGTCAACAACATTCGGTCAAGGTATGTCATGCATGTTCGCATATCGAGCTCTCTGATATAGATGGTCTTCGATGATAGCTCTGACCGATGCGGTGAGTTGACATCGTGCTATACGAATGTGCAAGATCTCATATAGACCGGAAGATCGCAAAAGACTGGGGCGGAAAGCCGTTCGTTGATCTGCAGGCTGGATACAAGGAAGTGCTCCGTCTGTATCCTGAGGTACGTCTATCCTCCAATCTATTGCGTCCTTAAGTGACTTCCTGATCGTAGATCCACCCTGAGAAAACGGTCGCCGCTGGCGCGTCATGGGGTGGATATGCTATCAAGTGCGTTTCTACCTCGCACTGGGCTTACATGACGACTGACACTTCTTTCAGTTGGATCGCGGGGCATCCAGAGTTCGATTTCAACTTCAAGGCCCTGGTTTGCCATGATGGTGTATGTGCGCCTTTGCAGCGAGTACACTCCAATTCTAATGCGTGAGGCAGGTCTTCGATACTCGGGCAAACGGTTTCGTAACGGATGAGCTGTTCTTTGTGAGGAACGAATATGACCTTGTTTACTGTTGTGCTGATCGATAAAAAGTTCGATCAAGAATTTGGCGGCCCTCCTTGGAAGAGCGCGGAGACCGTTGAGAAGTGAACCACTGGCCAAATGCACCAAGTCCAGAGGGCTGACTGTGTACAGATTCAACCCTGCCAACTTTGTTGAGAAATGGTCAATACCTATGCTGATTTTCCATGGTGAAAGGGTACTTCTCTACTAATATTGTATCCGCACACGTTGCTCATTGCTCATTGCTCTTTACGCAGGATTATCGCCTGCCGGTCACCGAAGGTATCGGCGCATTCCATTCCAACAAGCGCATGGGAGTTCCAACCCGTCTCGTTGTCTTCCCCGAGGAGAACCATTGGGTGCTGGACCCAGGCAACAGGTACATAAAAATCAATGTGAACAGACAATCCAAGCTAACGGCCCGCGTCCAGTCTTAAGTGGCACACTGAGATCTTTGAATGGTTCGCCAAATGGCTAGACTGAACGAGCAAAGTTCGGAGCACATTGTCCAATGCGCGTCAGCGGTTGAGTGTTACCGCCACGATGTAACATTTACGCCAAAATCAATTGATCAATTACAATCTATAGACCCATACTCCGTCAATTGACGTTATGGGCGCTGACATGAACAGCCTCCCCATTAGTGCGAACAGATCGTCTTGCCACGTCTCTACTGAGTGGTTTTCGCATATCTGAAAACAGATGAGCATCTGATGAAGGCAGAATGGGATAGGTAGGGTACCAAAGGCGTCTTCATCATCCTTCCCTCCTCCCATTCCAGTCCCATAATACCCTATTATTCGTCTCCATACACTGTATCCCATGCCCTCGTACATGTCCTTGGCGATCTTGTTCTTACACCGAACGAACAAGTCAACGAAGAACGCGCGGTAGACCTCGTCCGAGATCTGCTCGATGAGGCGCATCATGCCACGGGCCAAGCCTAGCCGTCGATACTGTGGTGACACGGTTATGGCAGTAACATGTCCGTGGAAGTCTGGTCCGGTGCCTTCCGCTTTACCGAGCACTGTGGGGGAAGGTAAGTGCCATGTTTCATAGCTGGAATGGGCGCTAGGCACCGTAACCCATCAGCCGACCATTCGGCGCCTCTTGCACGTAGCACATGTCCGGCCATCTCGACAAATAGGAGAGGTAGAAGGAGATACTGTACTGTGAACATAATCAAAATGAGCCACAGTACGCAAATGTGGACCGAACGCACCGTCTCTGTCCATGGATCGAGATTGCTGTTATGGAGCCGAATCAGCATGGATCGATGTTGTCCACCGTTGGCTCACATGTTGTTGAATCTGAATAGATCTGTGGCTCGGAATGGTCGCAAGATAGACATTGTACGATGGACAGATACAAGGCGGCTTTCGGGCACTTGAGGAGAGGGACGTGGTACAGTGGCACAACCCTATCGAGGTCACGATCACCTCGAGTTTCCGTAATTTTCTTGTCCCTTGCTGCACATTGTCATGTTCAGGGATAATAATTGGCAGTGGTCGGTATTAGGCTCAATCGGATCATGCATGGAACCCAACTACTGACACATATACTACTAAGGACACAGTACGATTGACGCTTTGACTATACGATTTCGGTAACAATGATGCAGTGCAAATGGTAATGTAAGGAGCAGAGGGAATACAACGAGCAGCACTAGGCTAGCCCAAACCATAACGAAAGAGAACAACCAGAGACAGACAGCGAGAACACTAGGTTCTCTGAAGATAGATGCTAAAGAACGAATTGAGGTAAAGAGCGGCGGCGCGCTGGCGCGCAAGAAACAATAGTGTGAACCAAGACGAAAAGAGAGAAGAGAACAAAATCGCCAGTCGAGGTTTTAGGTTGCCATATAGTAAGCTTTTAAAAGAGACGGATAGAGTAATGGACGCATATGTAGACAGGGCTTGCCAAATTGATACAGTAGATGGGTGTCGAGAGGGCTTCCTGTCTTAGAGAACGACCACGGCTGAATTGGGCATGAATACGTCGTCGTGTTCCACATCCATCAGGAGGGAATCACTTGTACGCTGCTTCTTTGTCCGCTTGCAGATCAGGCGATCAAGAAACGTCTCAGCGCGAACGAGCGTGGGCACGCTACTCGCTGAGAGTACTGATCGAGAACGTGGAGAACACTTTGATGATGTTTCATAAGGCTTCGGGTACGGAGAGTAAGCAAGGTTCGTCACAGACGACAGCTTGCGAAGGGCAGCAGGGGGGGCCCTCAGAATGGATGGTTGGCGACGAGCTTCGGACTTGACAGGCGAAGGCGAGAGGTAGAAGCGACTGAGCTTCTCCTTTGTTAACATCCGATTCGAGGAGGGAGAGGAAATGCAGGATGAGGGAGTGTAACCGTCGAGAGGGGTACGGGGGCCGGTCGATGAGGGTGTGCCAACGCTTGAGAGAGAGGAGTCTGAGCCACTCCGCTCGAGCGCGGGAGGTGTAGCGTCCAGGTACAGATCGCGCGATGAGACGGCACGAGCGGGAGTAACTGGCTTCACAGGCGTGGGGTGCGCAGATGAGGGCAGGAAGGGCTTGAGCTGCTCCATTAGCTCCGCCTCAGTGAAGAGGAGGTTGTAGTCGAGGAGCGCGAGCAGCTGCTTCTCCATCATGATGACATCGGCCGCAGTGAAGAACCGGGCGTATTCGACCCAATGACTATTCTTAGGCGATGAGTCGTTCAACGCTTTCGAGGCAGTGATAAGGGTAGCCAGAAAGATACGATGGCAAGTGTCGGGCAGACCTAGCGTTCACATGTTGAGACTAGGATCCTCAAGCATGAATCACTGCGACTCACCCTCTCCGCCCTTAGGAATACGTGCCGCAATACGGTCCAGGTAGATACATGTGCTGAGGAGGGTAGCGGTGTGAACGCGAGAGCGCTCGACTAGAGACCGAATAAAACGCTCGAGGGAAGGGAGTTGGCGTGTGAATACCGGAGCGGTGGTCTTGGGCGGGGTATGAGGAGGCGTTGGGAGGAGGCTTGCCTCGTTTGAGCAGGGGATAAGCGCCTTAGTCTTCTCAGCGAGCCAAACTAAGAACCGTGAGTGCGATGTCTGCCTGCAGAGAGCAAGAGGACGCACCAATCATCTGGCGGCTGACCTCCGTGTGGTACAGGAGCTTGAGGAGCTCCGGTGAGTGCTCTGAGCGGTCGACGAGGGATGCGTGGTAGGGAGTCGAGCGAGTCATTGTGGAGCAGGAGACGGGTGAGGAGGGCGAGTAAGTGCAAAGACGAAAGGGGAAGGATGGGTAAGTAAGGGGAAGGGTAATGTAGGGGGAGACGGCAAGGAATGAGGAGGAGGGAAGGGGGAATGGATGGGGTCGCATACCAGAGAGGGACCTGGTTATATATCGCTTGCACAGTAGCGCCGAACCAGAGGAGGACCCATCCACCATACTTGGTGGATCTCTAGCAATAACACGTAATTATATCGTCCACTACGCACATTCCTGTACACATTGTGAACTGAGGGACGTGGGGATCAACGGACGGGTATTGTGCCCAGATTGAGAAGCAGAGGAGTAATTCCATGGCTGAGAATTGCTTCTCTTCGCCGCTAGCCCAAGTGGTGGGCTACTGATGATTGTCAGTTGACGTCAGGTGGTCCATGGGTAGAGCCAGGCAGGGTTCAGTGTAATCATTCCAATGATTAGAGGGCGTCCACCGGGGTTCCACGGTAGCTTCGGCACGACAATAAGCCAGATAGGTTCCTGTTAGTAGTCACAGTGTTAAGGAGCAGAAAAAAAGAATCCAGTGCGGTCATCAACCACCCGCCCTGACTTGTTCGCTTCCGGGCGGAGGCATGCACGTTATTATCGTTAATCGAAGTCTATGCCTGTCACCGACGCCTAGCCCACCACCGTCCTTCTCAGTTCCCGCTATCATCCTTCCCCCTATCCGTCTTCCATTCCTCTTGTTCATCATCCACATGGCCACCCACTGGGAGTTGGAGCGATCAAACAATCGACCGATACCCCTCGACTATTTCTTCATCATCTTGCGATGGCCGACAATCCCGTCGATTCCCGTCACAGCCTGCCACTAGAATTGTTTTCTTCTACGGTACTTTCGAACGCCCCCACCCGGAGTTAGACTAACCCGCGAGTCCCGTGGTCGGTCGGCGTTTCGAGGCTTCCGTAAGAAGCGGGTTGTCCACGATTTCAGGGGTCGGATCGTGATTCGTTCGGTGTCACTTCCGGGGTGTCCGCAAGAGTATGGTCTCCTTCATAATGTGGGGTACAGAGCCCCTCATCCCAAGCGCCTTTTACAAGCCACCCTTCAACTGCAAAGCGCGCGTGGGTTGGCAAGATGAGGCGGTTAGGTTGAACCCTATCAACTCCGTGTTCTTTCCACGTGATGAACACCCCTCAGTCATCAGCGTCAGATGATGACAGTGAACAACGTTAGTTTAGAGTCGCCTTTGGGTTTGTTTATCTAGAAACCAATCAACCATTATTTGGCAACATTGTTCTTACGTAGGCGCCCACCTCCACGCCAAAGAAGATCATGTTCCATGAGAGAAGATGAGTGTGTTGAAATGATGTTAGCAATCGGCCTACATCATGATGGTTCCCCACTTCCGACTGAGCCACATCCAGATTTGGACTGTCCAGGTGTCCGCGATTAACACTGACGTCCTCGTGTGCCACGAAAAAGCAGCCAGTCATCATTGGCGCTCTTCTTTCGTAATCGACATTGAACACCGCATCTGCTCATAATTATGCAATAATGACAAGTAGCATGGGATGTTGTGAGCGTACTTTCGATTGTTTCTCAATGTCAATTAGGAAGCGAAGAGCAAGCAGAGAAACCACCGGTTGCGCTAAGAACCGCTTCTGATTAGTGCGACAATCCGTTCAGAGCCGTCACCCCCCGAACCTGGTTGAACAGACCGGTTCTCCCATGTCTTTTCAGGTGCAAAGTGCCCAACCGTCAGACGGCCATCCGATTCCAAAGTCAGGTGTTGCATTTCGTGCGCCCGCTGAGCATAGCGTCCTCAGGGACTGTTGCAGTGGTCACTGACAGGGGGGGGCGATGTTGACGATAGCCGCATTCCAGCGGACGACGTATCGAGCACAGCTGGACAGAGCTGCTAAGATCTCAAACCCACCATTCTGTGGGGGCAGAACCGCGACAATGTACACAGCATGAGAGCACCGCGGAAACGATGAGAAGCGGTCGATAGGTATGCACATCCGGAAGCTGCAGACTTCAAGTGGGGGTATTGAGTATATTTGCTCATATAGAAGGAACGAATCAATGAAACGCTCACCGTGACGGTAATATTAATAATGGTAGATTATCAATGTGACAATGAGAAGGAAAGAGGCGCAGCAAATGCGCTGAGAGGGAGCAGTTGACATGACACGGGCAATGAACGGTCGTCGACGTCGCCCCAACTGAGGTGGCCCATCAGGACGACCTGCTCGCATCATGAAGGCGCAACTTTGAAGACGACGGCGTTGTCAGCCAATGAGAAGGCAATGCACTCTATTCTGTTGGCGCTCACCAAGACGGGGAGGGCGGCATCCATGCGCTGAGGCTTCCGTCGTCGTCACCGCAACGCGTCGGTCGAGTGCGACGTCCCCCCCGTTGCCACCTCGTGCAACATATCAATTCGGACAACCAGTTCCCATCCCACCCAGCCAGTATACCCCCCCTCTTTCTTTCTCTCGTACCTTGATCTTCAACGGCTGCTTTCTCACAGACGAGACTGGGTCTCGCCCACTTCACTCTTTACCAGCTGTATCAAAAACATAGTAAACAACCTGTCAATCGAGTCAGGAAGGACGACAAAATTCAACAACTTAACCAGTCATGGCTCCTGCGCCAGCAGCAGTAGCAGGGCTGGACCCGAACCAGGCGCTTTCTTCTCTTAGTGCGGCTCTTGATGGGCCAAAGACGTCTGCTGCAGTGCAAGGCGCGGTCGCCAATGTGGGAGGTGCGGTACCCGGAGTGGGAGGGAACGATAACGGCAGTGGATTAGGTGGATTCTTGACGTCTGAACTGGGGACCATCTTGGGGTTGGGTAACGGCGCGACTTCCACGTCGGCTCGTGCGGGTGCAACAACGAGTGCTCGGTCGACTAGCACAACCACCCACGCGACCACTACCTCAAAATCCACAACAACGACGAGATCAACCACAACATCGTCCAGCACCACCACGTCTAGTACCAGCACCACCACCTCGACCACCACGTCTCTCACTTCTCCGCCAGCTCGCAGCCTGAATACCCCCTCCACCTCCTCTCTCATTCTCGCAATCCCTACCACTTCTTCGTCTGCTTCCTCTGCCTCACCTTCTGCCTTGGACAACGCCACAGCCAATGGCGCAACCTCAACGAGCGGGTTAAGTCATACTGCCGTAATTGGTACGTTTCACAATGGAAGAGCAATGATAAGTTGTTAACGAATACTCCAAAGGCATTATCGTCGCTGCCGCCGCGGTCGGCGCCTTCATCCTCCTTTTCTTCTTGCGGAAACTATGCCTCTCCCGTCGCAGGCGTGAGCGCATCCAATGGGAAGAGAACCTCGCCTCCTACAACGCGCCGAATGATATCGGCTCAGCTGAGAAGGTAGAGGAGGAGGTTATCAGACGTCTCAACGCGAACGTTGTCGCTCCCGTCGCTCCTGCCCCCGTCGCACGGGGAAGGCAGCAAACCCGTCCTCTGACACCACCGAACATGGGCCAAATGGGCCAGCAGGACATGATCCGGCCGATGCAGATGCGCAGACCGGTTCAACCTCCTTCCCAGATGATGATCGGGCCATACCCGACATTCTCACCGAGCACTTCACCACCTCAGCAACTTCGTTTCAGTGGCGGTAACAGCGGTGCCTCCCAACTTCCCGCTCTACCCCAGGCAGCAGGGTACGGGATTGCCCCGCCTCCACCCTCCCTGTCACCTGCCAAAGGAATGTTCAAGACCGTTTTGACGACGTACAGTCCCCAACTTCCTGACGAGCTTCCTCTTACGATCGGAGAGACCGTGCGCGTCATAGAAGTGTACGAAGACGGGTGGGCGATGGTGGAGCGCGTCGGGCCACCTGCTACAGGTGGCATGTTTGAGAAGGGTGTCGTACCGGCCGAATGTGTGGGTCTTGCTTCCCATCAGCGCTGAGGCATTCTATTGCGGGCAGCCAGACTCGCTGGCACCTTCCAGAGTAACCTTCCTCCTCATATGGACTTTTCGTTTCGTTTCGGGTGCCCCATATGTCCACATCGATATATACGGTTCTCTCTTGTGGTCGGCAGGTCGACCTAATTCGTGGAATATAAACGTGTTGTATTTGAGAAGGAAGGTTATACATGTTATTTCTGCAACTGTGAAAGGATTGCCGTGTGCTGCAAAAGCAGAAGTCGCGCTGGGCGTGTTGATGAACCAAGACATCGCATCCCCAGACGACGGCGCGTTGCGCTGCTCTTCTCATGCACATGCAACAGCTTCGCTATAATCCTAGCGACCACACCCTTGTTCTGTATGTTCTGTACTGGATTTGCGGGAAACATTCTCTTGATGCGACTGGCTACGAGGGCAAAGCTTTTGAATCACCAGGTTGGTCATCTGCCGCATCCAGTCCATGAACCGGCCGAGGTGTACTGGACTCTCAGCCGGAAAGTGAATGCTCTTGCTCAATAGAGCTTTGGATTTCAACATACATCTCAGAAATGCCGCACATGTTTAGCTTCGCTGCATTGCTTCTCTTATGGTCTTGGCCCATAAAGACATTCCAACATCAACATATACGATGTGACATAGCTCATCGGTCCTCGAGCTGCACCAGTCAGCCGCCCACGTTCGCCAGGCACGGTCCCACATATATGAACACCACTCCCCTGCCGGCCAGTTTCGAAATCAACACCGTTAACCTTCGCATTTGATGACTATTTTCTCTTCCAATCCGAAAACTCGGGCTGTTGTGGTGTCGGTCTTGTTCTTGCTTCACCAGGCAAGTGCCCTGGTGATCAGGGCGGAAGCCGACCCCGCCAGATTCGGTATGTGTGTTGAAGCCCTGCACGACTGTTCTCTCAACCGATATACCGCTAGTTGATCCCTTCATCGGGACCAGCAATGGTGGACATGTATTTGCTGGCTCAACCCTGTACGTCGTTGCTGTACGTCGTATGCGGGGAAGCCTGCTGAACTTCAGTTGCAGACCCTTTGCGCCGGTCAAGGCGGTTGCCGACTCCCACTCAAGCGATAATCAAGGTGGATACGTCTCCGATGGATCACCGATCGTGTACGCTTGTCTTCCCCGGCATTCTCCTTATCTGGTGCTTACGCGATCTACCTAGCGGCATTTCCCCTTTGCATGATGATGGCACCGGCGGAGGAGCCAGTATGGGGCAGTTCAAAGCTTTCCCCACATTCTGTAGCGGAGGTCTCGACACCTGCGTCACACAGGAGACGTCCAGGATGGTTTCACCAGTCAGCGGCTCGCCATGTGAGACTACTCTGTCCTTTTGATCGTGTCCTCGCTGATATCGGATCTCCTAGCTGGGTGCCCAGGTTATTTCTCAATCGGCTTGCAGAACGGCTACACGGCGGAGGTCACGACTACCAATCATGCAGCCATCCATCGTTTCACAACTAACTGGTCCGCTCAATCACCGGTGCTGCTCTTCGACCTGACCAACGACCTGTCCCACTCATTTCAGGGGAACGGCAACCTCAACATTCAGACGCTGACAGCCCAGCGGCAAGGACAGACCATCACTCGCTTGACTGGAGGAGGTGAATGGAATCCGAGCTTCGGTATCGGCACCTACGATGTATACTTCTGCCTGGATGTGGTGGGCGTGGCAAATTATGCCATATATGATAATGGTGCAATCAACATTGGTGCAACTTCTCTCCCAAGTGAGGGCTCTCCAGGTAAGGTTACATTGACAGCGACCGCCCAAATCAGTTCCTCATCGTTCGGCAGGTGACCAGCTGGGCGCGCTTTTGCAAATGCCGAATGGGACTTCTTCATTCGTCGCTCGCATTGGTGTCTCGTGGATGTCATCCGGAAAAGCTTGCACATATGCCGAGTCGGAGATACCTCTGATCACTTCCCAGGGCTTCGATGAAACCCAAATGAACGCGAGGGCAGTTTGGAACGAGCTTCTCACCAACGTGCAAGTCGATGCTACTGGAGTTTCCTCGAACACACAGACGCTATTTTGGTCTTCGTTATACCGATCCTTCATATCACCCATGAACGTGACCGGAGATAACCCTCTATGGCCCGATTCGACGGAGCCATACTATGATTCATACTACTGTATTTGGGACTCTTTCCGTGTCGTGCATCCATTGTGGACAATTGTCCAACCGCAAGCCCAGGCCGAAGTCATTAGGGCACTCATCGATGTCTATCGACACACCGGCTGGCTTCCCGACTGTCGTATGTCAACTGATATGGGCTACACACAGGGCGTGAGTGCCAAACCTTTCATTATCTCTTTGATAACTGAAGACAACAACAGGGGAGCAATGCGGACAGTCTCCTTTCGGATTCATTCGTGAAAGGAATCTCAGCGGGTATCAACTGGATGGATGGATACGCGGCTGTAGTCAGAGATGCGACTGTTGAACCGACTCTGTGGGGAGTGCAAGGCCGAGGAGGAATCAAGAGCAGAGCTCAACTAGGCTATATTCCTGTAGGCGATACCTCCGACGCTGTGAGCACCGTGAATACAGTTGGGAGGTTTGTGCCTGTCTGTGAGATTCCGCTACCAGACCAACTTTTGACACAGGAGCGCTTCTCGATTGTTGGAATACTCTTACAACGACTTCAGTATCGCTTTGATTGCCAAGGGAGTCGGGGACTATCAAGGGTACAAATACTATCTGAACAAATCGATGGACGCCCTCAACCTCTGGGACCCAACCGTTCAGAGTGCTGGATTTACCGGATTCATTCAACCCCGATATTCAGTGAGCCACGCGCGCTCACAGAGAAATCCAGCTAACATAGCTGAATAGTCCGGTGAATTTATGTACGTCGATCCTCGCATGTGCTCTCCCGTGTTGGGCCACACCAGTTGCTACCTGAATCCTCAAGGGGTGGGCCATATTCTAAGTCACTCAACTGTCTCGCTGAGTCCTCTTGACTTTAGGGCGAGTTCTACGAAGCATCATCTTGTAAGTTGAATACCATGCCACTTCACTGGATCCTCTCAGCATTCTGCTATAGGGCAATACTCCTTCTATTTCCCCCACAACATGCAGGACGTCATCCAAAACTATATGGGTGGCACGTCAACATTCTTGAATCGACTGGACACCCTTTTCAAAAATGGCTATTCCGACGTCGGGGACGAACCGGGCTTTATGCCTACTTTCCTCTACAACTACGGCGGAAGGCCGGACAAGACTGTCGATAGGGTGCTCTCGACGCTCAATACGTACTTTAGCACTGAGACAGCAGGAATACCGGGTAACGATGACAGCGGCGCAATGGGTGCCTATGCTGTCTGGGCTAGTTTGGGTTTCTTCCCTGTCGCTGGTGAGGATCCACTCATCCTCAAAGTATCGCATTCTTATACGATCATGGCAGGTCAGAATACGTATCTGCTCTCCACGCCGCTGTTCCGGTCGGTTACTTTCACGAATCCCGTGACGGGTACAAAAGCAACCATCACTGCGAACAACTGGGATGGGGCAACGACTAACAAGTACGTGCAGAGTGCCAAGCTGAATGGTAGGACGTACACGAAGAATTGGATCAATCACGAGATATTCAGCAAGGGCGGCACCCTAGAGCTTACGTTGGGAAGCAGACCGAGCTCATGGGGCACGCAGCCTGGTGATTTGCCACCGAGCATCACTACTGGCGGATTTTGAAGTTATTTGTTATTTCATTTTGGGTTTCTTCATCTGGATGTATCGACTGTGTTGTTGTATGTCCCCACTCATGAATGAATGAACAATGTGTCACCTGGACTTGGCACTTCAGCAGATGTGCTATTGCAGCATCAACCAGTCTCCTGAGGCTGATGCTACCTCATCCATATACCTAAATAATCTGCAAGCACCAAGAGACATTCATCACAAACTTTTGCAGGTGCTCTGGAGTGCTCAAGACCCTGACAGAGCCAGGGAGTCAAATGAGACATCCCCCCATTTCCAGAGCCTTGCGGAGCTCCGTGAGCATCTGCTTAAGGGTCCCAAAGCTGTACCTTGCTCTCTGGAGCTGTATGTGTGCATCTTCAAGCTCCTGCAGATCCTATAGTATAGGCAGGTAATGGCAGTAAACAAGATGCATTAGTCCAGACTGAAAAGTTTGCACTATCCATCTGGTCCCTAGCTTATGTAAGCAGGTACTGTACAGTACCTGTAGGTGCATGTCAATACATGCACCTCTCTACTATATGCCAACACTCCCCCTCAGGCCAGAACTAAGCCAAGGTCAGAAACAAAACCTATGAACTTGTGCCTTGTAAGAACCTTTGTCAGAACATCTGCTACCATCTCAGCCATTGGGCAATACTCAAGTATGAGTGTCTTGTCCTCAACCTTGTCTCAAAGGAAATGGTTCTGGATGTCAAAATGCTTTGTCCTTGCATGAAACTGTTGATCCAGAGAGAGAGCAATAGCAGCTTGATGATCACAGTAAAGAATGCTGGGCTTGGTTTGCCTGAAACCAAGATTAGATAGAAGTTGTCAAAGCCAAACTATGTGATGAGAGGCAAGGTTGGTTGCCATGAATTCAGCTTTGCATGTTGAAAGAGTGGTTAAAGTTTGTTTCTTGGAGGTCCAAGAGATAGCACCTCCAGCAAGAAGAAACAAGTTGCCAGATAAAGACTTTTGATTGTCTCAATCAGATGCCCAATCTGCATCAGAAAAGGTAGTGAACATTGTAGTGTATTCACCAGGTCCACCATATACAAGAGAGTAGTTGCATGTTCCAGACAGGTACCATAACACATGCTTGACTGCTGTCCAGTGCATAGCCAAAGGATTTGCTGTGTACTGACTCAGTGTCTGACATGCATAGGCAATGTCTGGTTGAGTGCCAATAGCTGCATACATGAGAGAACCAATTGCTGTAGCATATTGTTGTTGATCAACTGCTGCACCAGTATTCTTCTTGAGCTTGACATTCAGATCCAGTGGTGTTGAGACTGGATTGGCATTCTCCATCTGAAAGTGCTTCAGGATATTATCAATATAGCTGCTTTGGGATGAAGCTGTACTCCCATTGGGGTTGTGGGATATCTTGATCCCAACAAGGTATTGTAGAGTGCCAAGATCTTTGACATTGAACTGAGACTTGAGAGCATTTTTGACCTTGGTCATCTCATGGGTATCCATTGTTGCAATAAGGAAGTCATCGACCCAGACTGTAAATATTGCCAGTCTGTCTCCAATCCTCCTGATATAGACACATGGCTCCACATCTGAGCATTGGAAGCCAAGTTGGGTGAGCAAGTCATGGAGCTTCTTGTTCCATAAGCATCCAGCTTGCTTCAGGCCATATAAGCCTTTCTTGAGTAGGTAGACCTTGTCAGAGCCATCATCAAAGCCAGGGGCTTGACACATATAAATCTCCTCCTCCAGGTCTCCTTTGAGGGATGCACTGGTAACATCCATCTGTCCCAGCTGCATCTTCTGTTGTGTGGCTAGTGCAATGATGGTTCAGAGTGAGTTGAGTTGAACTACTGGTGCATAGGTTTGGGTGAAGTCAATGCCAGGCTTCTGTGAGAATCCTTGTGCAACCAATCATCCCTTATGCTTGACAACTTTGCCATTCTCATCATACTTGTGAGCAAACACCCATTGGCATCCTATGGCCTTCTGGTCTGGTGGTAGCTCAGCCATGACCTAGGTGCCTTTTGTTTTGAGTTGGTGGATCTCCTCCTCAATAGCCTTCTTCCACTCTGGCCACTCTGCAGTCTCCTTTGCCTCTTCTATAGTGCTTGGCACATCATCTGTTGTCATCAGGAAGCAGTAGTCTGCAGTGACAGAGTTGTCTACTGCCTGGTTGCTCTGCTCCTGTCAAGGTTGATAGCTGGCAAGGGCATGGTAGTCTACTGGTTGTCATGTTGATCTGACTGGTTGACTTGGTGGCTCTGGTACTGGTTCTGGAGTGATCTCTTGTGATGGGACTGGAGTGAGTGGAGATTGCAGCTTGGGCTCAATGCTGACATCTGTGCTGGGCAGTATAATTGCCTCAACAGGTTGCTTTGGTGTATCTGGCATTCCATTTCCAGCAGCTCCCCCTGTCTCCCCCTTGAGCAGCAATTTTTGCATAGCAGTGCTATTCTCTGTCATCTCAACTGAAGGTCTTGCTTGCTTGCTATCCAAAAAGATATAATTGTGAGAGGTCTTCACTTGCTGAGTCCTCTTATCATAGTACTTGATTGCCTTTGGTCCATCTTCAAATCCAATGAAGGTGAAGAGGAGAGATTTGGGTGCAAGTTTCAAATGGTTCTCCCCCTGTTGGAGGATCCAGACTTCACTGCCAAATTCTCAGAGGTGTGACATGTCTGCCTTTTTGCCAATCCAGGCTTCATCAGGTGTTTTGCCATCCAGGGCCTTTGTCAGACTTCTATTCCTGACATATGCTGCATACTGGACTGTGTGTACCCATAGAGCCACAGGAAGTTTCTGTGCAATGAGCATGGCATGTGCAAGCTCAATAAGAGTTTGGTTGAACCTTTCTGCAATGCTGTTCTGGGATGATGAGTAGGGTGCTGTTGTTTGGAGTTCTATGCCTTGACTAGCAAGCCAATCCTTAATGGACTTGTTGATGTACTCTCTACCATTGTCACAGTGCAGTGTCTTGGGCTTCTTCCCTTGCTTGTGCTTGATCCAGGTGAGATACATTTGGATGTGCTTGATGGCCTTACTCTTCTCTTTCATGAAGAGAATGGAGCAGTGTTGAGTTGCATCATCCATGAATGAGATATAGTAGTGTGCTCCTCCTAGAGCTGGTGTCTGAGCTAGTCCTCATACATCACTGAATGTGAGTTTGCCAGGTACTGTGCTTCTGGTTGCTGCTTCCTTTGGGTAGGGCTGAGCTGATTGTTTTGCTGTGATGCAGGCTGAGCACTGAAAGTCCTTGCTTGTTGCAGGATTGATGTTCAGTCCAGTGACAAGTCCATCAGAGTGTAGCTTCACAAGTCCTGATATTGCAAGGTGACCATGTCATAAGTGTGCCTCATACCAGCTGAGTCAATGCTCTGCTGCTTGATGGGCTTGCTCTCCTGATGACTATACTAGCTCTGCTTTGGCATTCAGCAGGTAGAGACAATTTGTCTTCTGTCCAGTGCCAACTAGAATGCCTTTCACATTCCTGAGCTCACACTTGGCTGCTGAGAAGCTGATCTTGCTACCAGCATCATCAAAATGTCCAGCTGATAGCAGAGAATTCATAGCATTAGGTGCATGGAGTATGTCCTTGAGGGTATGTGTGATCATCTTCCTGTTGACATAAAAGTCTAACTTGACTGATCCTTGTCCTCTGGCTTGTATGGCATTGTTGCCTATACCCTTGATCTCATGCATAGTGAGGGGTTGGTAGTTGAGGAAGACATCATGAAGTGAGAGGTTGTGCCAGAGTTGAGTAGCCAATCCTGACCAATGAAGTGACCAGGTGCTGTGACATGATAGGCTGCTTCAAGTAGGTCACCATTGACCTCCTCAGCCTGATTTGTCTGCTCCAATTTCTTATTCCTCCCCCTTGAACATGGTCCTTGTCCTTCCTTTCCACCACCTTTACTCCAGCAATCTGCCTTGATGTGGCCTGGCTTCTTGCAGTTATCACAGATAATGTTGCTTGTGTGTGCTCATGTGCCACAGTTCTTCTCATGCCCAGGGTAAGGTTGCCTGTGAATTCTTGTTCCTTGTGACAATTCACCTCTTCCAAGAGTAGTGAGACAAGCTCATGGGATGTCATTGGCATCCGGCCAGTACATGCACCAAGAAGTGATTGGGTGAAGGTGTCCCATGTTTTGGGGAGAGATGTAGTGAGGAGGTTGGTGAATAGCTTATCTGGGATGATCTCACCTTGCAAGTGGAGTTGTTCTTGTAGTTGTTGCATCTCAGTGATGTGTGTAACCATGTTGAATCCATCCACAGCTTGCATACAATACAATTGACATTGAATCACCATAACCCCCAGCTCACCCCTCAACTCCTTGACCATGATCAGCTGGGACCACATTTGTCCCACTGTCAGTGCCCCAATGAGGTACACCATCTCTGTATCTCCCACACACAGCTCAATCTGGTTCTGTGCCCTCATGTCTATCTCATCCCACTCTCTCATCCTCTCTATCTCCTCTGCCATTGCCCCATCTGTCCCTGCTGGTTCTGGTCTTGGTATGCTGCCATCAACATGGCTGAGGAGATTGTGCTCACTCAGTAGTGCTTGCATGCATCTCTTCCATGGGTACCAGTTGTCTGCATTGAGCATATCAAAGCAAAGGGTGGATGATGGTGCATCTCAAATGCTTGAGGGGAGTATATGTGACATTGCTGGGCTGTTTGAAGTGTTGCTGAATGATATCAAAGGTGATCAGTTATAATTTGAGCCTCAGTGATTGCTGAAATAGAGAGTGGGGGGTGGATGCCATGAAGGTGGCTTGGATGTAGTTTTCCCAGTGTGCTGACATCTTCTCCAATAGAGTCTTCTCCAATGGGAATAATCAATAACACAGATGGGTCATCCAGCAGGATGTCCACAGTCTGAAGAAGTTAAAGGAAAAGCTTAGAGTGATCTTGTTGAGCAGGGCTCATAACCTATAGGCAGACTCCAAATACTCACTGCTGTGTGGTTTGCACATCTTCACAGGTCATGCTGAGCCATCTAGGAGAGCTTCTTTGGCAGAGGGCAGCTCACATCATCTCTTGTTGCACAGTCACATGATGCCTTAAATCAAGCAGAACATACATACTTCAGGATACTTGGCTGGGTAATGGTAGGCATAGTGTTCATCTGCCCAATCACAATGGCTTGCAGTGTCTTCACATGGGAATTTGCTGTTGCTGGTGCTGTGGCCATCACCATAGGGGTTGTTCTTCCATGCAACTCATCTACATAAATGCCAGCATAAGAATGGTCAGATATGGGACAAGCATGAGCAGACTGGGACTCAGGCTGCTTGAAGCTCCAAGATTCCTCTGCTGTTTGTTTTTCAAAGCCATGGATGGAGTGAAGAAGTGTTCAGCCTCCAATGGTCAGCTGGACCTTATCTGTGTTCATTTAGAATAGTTGTAACATGGCAAAAGAAAGCACCCAACATTAGCTGTGGGCATCCACACTGTTTCCTCATCTTGATTGGAGTCCCAGTGATCATTGATTTCAGGCTTGGTTTCTTCATCTCCATGCCCAATATGTTCTGATACCTGCTAGTAAGTATCAGATAAACCAGATTCAGTCAGCATACCCTTCCTCCTCGCACAATTCTCCTGCAAGTCAGCACCATCCTCACCATCACCCTCCTCTTCTTCCTGCTCATTGCCCACCTCTGGTTCACTCTCTGCATCAATAACAGGTTGCTGCTTGCATGGAGCATTCTTCCTGCCAGCTTGAGGTTTCTTAATAGGCACTGCTATCTTCTTTGGTCTTGATTTCACCTTCTGCCATTTCTCCTGACAATCTGCAGCAGCCTGTGCTTCCTCTCCTGGTGACAAATGAGCATCTTGAACTGATAGATTGATAGACATACACATATGGGCAGCTTGTGCTCACTCAGTTAACTTGGTTTGGTGATGGTATGTATCAGGATTGTTTGTAACATCTCCCAGGGGGACAGCTGTTTGAGGCATAAGGGTGCTGTACAAAGTCAAGTTGGAGGCAATTGGGGGGTGGGCTGGAGTTTCCCCTGGCTCATATTTGCAGTTTTGGGGCAGATCAATAAACAACATAACATGCAGAGGGTTGCACATGGTTGCCCTATCTGAAATGGTTACCACACTCTTGGGCCCTGAAATATGTGCTCTGATTGGGGCATACACTGGCTCTGAGCAAGGAACCAGCCTGTTTCCACTATGTTGGCTTGCAGGCAATATTTTCTTTCTGGGCCTGCCCAAATAATGCTAACTATGTCTTGCTCTATGCCATGACCTGGGCTTGCAGCTATTGTAAATGCATCCTTCAGACTTGACATGGTCTCCAAATCCATCAAGCTCTTTCTCCACTTTGCTTGCAGGCAGCTATGATGGAAGCCTGACATGAAGCTAATGCACATGCACATGACACACTGTATGGCATTCATGATGATGAACCTGAGCCAGATCTTGTTCACAATGGCCAGGATGACTTTTTGCTACTCTCTGATCTTCTGCTTGACTTAGACAATGCATTTGTGGACAACACTATGGAGGAAACTGTTGATGACTTTGCCCCCCCTGCTCTGCCTCTTGACACTGCCAGATCATGCTTGATTGAAGTTTACTTCCTGGGTGAGGTTGCTATGACCTATGGAGACTCCTGGCTGCCTTTTGAAGTGATACAGGACCAGCAGCTTGCCACTTATGGGATGGTTTGGGGCCCATTTTGGTGTGCAGAGGAGTGGGATTTGGCTTGGCAGCTCTTGCAGAGTCACTTGCCAATATCAAAGATTGACACCTTCCTGGAGACTCCCTTGGTATGTTTCTCCCTTATAACATGGTCCATGCTCATATTTGTTTTTGGGCACAGCTCCAGAACCAACCAGTGGTGACATTTCAATCACACAAAGAGCTATGTGTGCTTGTCAATCAGCACCTACCACAGGTGCCTAATTTTCAAGACATTCCTATCAACATTGTTTTGGATGGGAAACAAGAATCTCCCCAGAGCATACATGTAGAGCTGTGGTGCTGAAGCCTTGTCAATTGTCTCCAGGATTTGTTGGGAAACCTGTTACTGGATGGCCAAATCAATTTTGCTCCCTGCAAGACATACTCCAATGACATTCAACTATACTCTGAGTTTTCCACAGGCAATCACATGTGGGAACTACAGGTAATGTGTTCCCTTCATATTCAAAGGCTCTTCTAACTTGGATACCAAGGAAGCACTCCTGCCTGGGGCCACTGTGATTGGCATCATCCTCTCATCAGACAAGACCCAGCTTGTGAATTTTTGGTCAAATTCTACCACATGGCCTGTCTACATGTCTATTGCCAACATTCACAAGGATTACTGGCAAAAGATCAGCAACTGTGCCATGGTTCTTCTTGGATATCTCCCCACAGCCAAACTCAGGGAAATTGAGCACACCACTGACTGTACTATTCAACTTCATGATCTGTTTCACCATTGCATGGCTCAGTTGCTCCAAGAGCTTCATACTCTTGGGGCTGAAGGAATTATGATGGTCTGCCCCAATAAGCAGCTTTGCCATCTTTACCCTATCATGGTCTCTTATGTTGCAGACCATCCAGAGCAGTGTCTTGTCATTGGCTGCAGACAGAACTGGTGCCCCCAGTGTCTTGTCAATTGGAAGGAGAGGGATTAACCTCTTGTAGGTGCCCCCAACAAATGAATGTATACTTGACCCTGCAAGAAACTTCCGATTTGGCCTGAGAGTACTATGATGGGTGTGGTCTGGCAGGAATTGTGCCAATCACTCAGCCCTTTTGGAAGCAGCTTCCCCACTGCAACATCTTCACCAGCATAACACCTGATATCTTGCATGAGCTGCATAAAGGATTATTTGGTGATCACCTGCAAGAGTGGTTAGCTGAGGTGGTTGGTTATGGTCAGCTGTACTACTGCTACTGGAGCATGCCACCACATGATCATCACATCCACTTTCCCCAAGGTATTATGTACCGTGATAAGGTCACTGGCATGGAGTACAAGAGTATGGAGAAAACATTCTGCATGGCAATTGGTGGCCTTGCTCCCCATTCCCTTCAGCATCTGGCACATGCTGTCATTGACATGATATACCTATCTCAGCTCCCTCAGCATTCAACTTCAACCCTGGCCAAGCTTCAAGCATCCTGGGAAGAATTTCATTCCCACAAAGAAGTTTTTGTGGAGTTTTTTTTTTTTCAATTCCCTGAAGATGCACAAGCCAAATTGCCATGTGTCTTCAATCAAGGCTAGAGGGACATTAGATAACTTCAGCATGGAGCTCCCCAAGCATCTGCATATCTCTCTGGCCAAGGATGCCTATTGTGCAGGCAACCATTGCAATTACATACACTTTATGGCCCAATGGCTTTGCTGTGATATGACAATTGACCACTTCTATCAATTTCTACCTTGGTCTCTCTTGGCAGAAACATCTCATGCCCCAGAAACTGCTCAATTTAAGGCAGTGGTGGAGGGTGGCAGGACTGGAAGACTCCCTTTCCTTGCCAGCCTGGTACAAGGGAGTCTCTGTGAATGCTGCCCTAAATCAAACTCTCCACTCAGCATCTCCCATGCTTTGGCAGTGAGACTGAAATATCCCAACCTTCCATTGTCTGCACTGTGCAAGCTCTTTTGTGCCCAAAATTTCCTGGCCTGGTTGCAAGCCTATCTCTCAATGAACTATCCAAAATGTCATTGGGTCCCAGGGGAAGGAGACCAATTTTCCTGTCATGATTGTGTGCAGATCTTTGTTCCAACCATACCTGGACAGAACAAACACCTCAAGCTCACTGTACACTGTCAACCAGCCTGAGAAATTGCAATGGTCTGAGGACAGCAAGACAACACTTGATTTGACATGGTCATCATACCAACTAGAGATTTGAGCCATCTGCTTTGGGGCCACTCTGTGGCAATCCTGCATGTTATCTTCACTGTTGGGGCACATCCAGGATTACCACCCCAACAACTTGCTTATATTGACTGGTTCCAAGACCCAGTCATGACCAAGAACACTGGGCATCTTTATTCTGTCAAAAAGATCTTGACCAGAGACTCCTGCAAAGACAAGATTGTTTGCCTTAGCAGCATTGTGAGGTCTTGCCACCTCTTTCCCATCATTTTGAATGAAATATGGAGTGCCCCCCTTGTCCCCAGTGAAGTCCTTGAGACAATTGACTCTTTCTGGGTGAATCTGCACTTTGATCTGAACTTTTTCTATACATACATATTGTTGAAATGAGTGTCCTGGCATGAATGACAATACCAAGTTTGATTGAAAGCTGTGACCAGCTGGGGTCAATAGTTGTGGAGGGTCAAAAACATTTTTCATTGCATGTGTTTGATATGTCCATCTGTACCTACTGAAGGCAATGAAGACAGCAAAACCCCCTCCATCCCCTCTCCATCCTTCCCACCTGTACTTGCCCATCACCCTGTCATTAAACCACCTTGGCATCATCTGCATCAATGAAGTCCCTCATTTCCTCATTGTCCTTGTTGTCATCATCATCCTCATGGTCCATATCTGTATCCACCCTATCCCCTGGTCCTTCCGAATCAGTAGAACCAGACTTCCCTGAATTAGAGCTGCCATCCATGTTTGTGTCATCATGTAAGTTGTCAGCAGTGTGCTGCTTGTGACACTGCTTAACAACTTCCTTGCCCTTGGACTGGTGAGTATTGGCTGCTTTTTTGGCTCTTGTTGAATGCTCTTCCAGAGCTTGGAGGTTGCTGGCAGCACCTTGTTTGAGCAACCACATGTTCATGTTGAGGCAATCATCAACCTTGTCCCAATCCTCAGGGGCCTGTCATCTCCATCCCCAAACCAAGCAAAAGCTAACAACCAGCGCATATGATCATAGTCAAGAATGGTACCACACTTAGGTTTGACCTCATCCCAATCCTTGAGACTGACTGTATTGATGGTCAGTTGCAGCTTGATTTAAGGCAGGGTGGAAGAGCTCACTTTGATGGTATCCCTCTTGCAAAAGAGACATTGCTTCCCACTGTCAATGCAAGGCTGGCAGCAATGCCCATGAAAGCAAATGCACCTGCAATCTATCTCTTGGAAAGTGCCTCTGGAGTCTCCCTTTGGATACTCATGGAGGACATCATGGTGACAGTGGTAACACATTTCTGCACCAAAGCAGATCCACAAGGAAGGTCAGTCAGTTAACTGACAGTGCCTTAAATTGACTTGGAACTTACCACCATGACATCATCCAGCATCTGTATTTTGCTATCAAGCTCAGGGTGGATCTCAATCACACCCAGATCATGAGCAGTGCTGTAATCAGGAATTTGAGCCTCAGAAAAGATCTGATCATTGCCTTGTTCTGGAGCTCACAATAATGTTGGAGTCAGGCTGGGTGCTGCATGATGAGACTTGTGTTTGCACAGCAAAGCTCTCATTTGAATGTCATTGACAGTATGCTCATGATGGGTGTGGACCAATATATTGTTAAAGGTTTCATCTGCAGGCCACTTTTGGTTGCTGCATAAAGGATCTGCAAGAGCTTCATCACTGAAGTCAGGCTCTTCCTGAGAAATGTGCTGGACATCATTCTTGAGGACTGTCAAGAGGGCATCAGGCAAACCTTCAAAGCTGAAGGCCCAGTGCTTGAGTGGCAGCTCGAGATGCCAACAAGCACAGTGTTTCATCAGAGCAAGAAGAGCACAAGCAAAGAAACTGGTTGGGGGGGAATTGTACACTCACTGATGTTCCATATTGGTATGCTGCCAGATTGAGTAAGCACAACACTGAGGAATATCACAGCCAGGACTTATGATGTGATCCCTCATGGTTGTCATCCATGTGGACACACTGTGGACAGGTGCATCAGGGATCCTGGGCCATGGGCAGGTGATGTCAATGAGATCAACAATGGTGTGTGTGGAGTAGTGGTCAATGGACCACCATTGTGGCATATTAAGTATGTCATCCCATCAGATCTTTGATGTAACTTATGATATTGAGGTTACTTTACTTGCCATTAACTTGTTCAAGGTACTCAATCTTTGCTTGGATGTTGTATGTGTGCTTCCACACATATATGTTGAGGATATTTGACAGTAATGGACCACACATCTGCACCCAGTCCTTCGACTCACCAGCCAAGAGTGCTATGAAGTATGCATTCTGTAATATGTGAGTCTATCATTGATATAAGGCAGGGGTGAGGTACTGACCAGAACCTCCACACATGCCTTAATAGCAATATCAGCCTCAGCAAGGTTGATATTGTACAAGGAGGGTATTGCTGGGAGTTCTTCAATGGCATCGATGAGGTCTTGGGCTGCAGAGCAGGAGAGGATTCAATCTGCAGGAGACATCTTGGAGTGGTCCATGATGTTGCATGCCCAAGATGCAATCATTGCATCATCAATCAAGCCCTTTCAAATCTGGTGGCATTTGGCCTTCTCATGCTTTTTGAATGGATCTTCATCATCCTTCTTCTTCTTCCTTACTTGCTGCTTCCTCTTCAAATGAGGATTTGCCTGCCTCCACCTCTCCCCTTGGTTCTCAGCAAAATGCAGCAAGATTTCATATTGCTGCTGCTCAAACAGAAGATGGGAATCTGCCCAGTGGGCAAAGAAGTCCTGATGATGAGGTGAGCAATCCTGAGCCTTATGAATGTTTGCAGGCTCACCTGAAGCCTATTCAGATTCTGAGCCCAATCAACATATGTCTCATAGTCTGCTGCAGCTGGATCTGGAGCTGTGCCTGTGAGGTCTAGCAGCTTTGACTCTGCATGGATTCAACGCTGAATTGCCATGGCAAGCTGCATGTTTTCACCATCATAGGGCTTGCTTGCAGTTGAGGACTGGGAGAAGTTGTTGATAATGTCTTGAGTCAGGATCTGGGCATAGAGGTGAGCATGTCTGCAGTGCCTTAAATGGAACTAATAAGCATACCTTGTCTCCTTCCAGAGTGTCCAAGGCCTGGCTATACACTCTGATCTCATTAGAGTCATCTTCCATCAGCTCATCAACTTCCTCATCCACCTTGTGCCCTTTGCTTTCTGGGGGATCAACTGGCTTGTCTAGTGTAGAACATTTGCATGTGTGTTTGCCATATGTTTGTTTTGGGAGTTTTTGTGCCTTGATTGTTCTTGCAGGCTGGTCTTCTGGTTCAGAGGGATCGAGTTCATCCTCTAGAAGATACTTTTGTTCACCCTGCTGGCTTGTTGGGATTGCAGTATCCCAATCATAGCTCTGGGGGACAAAAGCATCTTGTCAAGCATTTTGTGCAGCCTCCTGCTCAGCTTGTTCAGCTTGCTGAGCTTGTGCAGTGAGTTCCCTTTGCTTGACCAGGGAATGTTCTACAGGTCGGAGGCTAAAGCTGTGCAGTCTGCTTGATGGGGGCATCTTGTTGGGATATATGGGAAGTGCTGATAATGGGGAAGGAGGGGGAACTTGAGTTGATGGGGGCATCAAATCAAATGATGAGGGGGGAGTGTGTGGGGACATGAAGAATTGAAAGAGATGAGCAAGAGACAAGCAATATATGTTGGAAGAGACAAGCAAGACAAGTGAGAGACATCTTGGGGGCTGTTTTTGGGTTTTCTTTTCTTTTTTTCTTGCAGTGGTGAGATGGAAATTTAGCTGATTTGTATGAGGGAGTGAGGGAATGAGAACAGGCATGGTGTGTGGGATGGTGGTGGTACAATATAGAGTGATGGTCTTATGGATGGATGATTGCAATGTGGGGTGATGTGTCAGCATGGCCCTAATGTGGACTTAGTAGTTGTGCTGCATACATGAGGCCTGAGGGCCTCACACAGGATGCCTACACATGAGATACACATAAGAAATGGTATTATTGTCTACCTACATACCTCTGTGGTCTTTTAAAAGCTCCACCCCTCCTCTCCAGCACTGCCTTAAATTGGACAAGCATCACTGTTGGCTCCCTCAGCTCTCGGAAGCTCCTGGGGTGCACTGATGTGCCAAGGATACACTCAGAGATCTGGTGACACATCTCTGAGGGCAACCCTAAATCAAGTGGAGTTAAGACCTGGACCCTGGGAGCAAATCCGACTTTGGTGATGTTGTCCTTGCAGAATTGCATCAGGGAGCAGCTTGAGCTCACCCCAGCCTTCACCCATATTCTCCTGAGGATCCTCAGTTGATTGCTGGATATATGCAGTTTGCTAGTCACTCACATATGACACAACACATGGTGTAGGTGTGAGGGCAACACAATCCAACAATTGTTGATGATCAAATAACTGAACAGGCAATGAGCAAATCAGAGAGTAGTGAGTCATATGTCAATCAATACCTCAATGTTTGTTCACAAATGGAGTGATCAACAGGGTTTATAGGGTAAGTGGTGGTTGGCAGCTGACAGGCACAATTGTGTGTGTGTCATGTGCATGTTTGGAACAATCAAAGCTTTGTGTTTAGAACCTAATGACCTTGGACTGTGGGGTTCCTAAGAGATTAGCTCTAAAGAGCTACAGGGGCTATACCTAGGGTTTTATATATGTCTAGGTATGGTAGTAAAAGGAAGCAAAGTCTGTGGCTGACTATACAGCTTGTTTAGGGCAGGCACCTTATGTCTCTTGTCTGGTTGGTCCTGCATGATCTATGACCAATGTCTCATGTTCTGGGATCTGTCCTTCTTGGAGTTGGGTGATTGTAGTATTGGCTGTCATTTGGGGTGTCATGCCATGTGACTGTGCTCTGATTGTTGTTGATTGCAGCTGTCTGCAATTGATTTTAGGGATGTCCCCTGATAGTAGGCAGGTAAGGGGCAGTGAACAAGATGCATTGGTCCAGACTGAAAAGTTTGCACTATGTTGTCTGGTCCCTGGCTTATGTAAGCAGGTACTGTACAGTACCTATAGGTACATGTATCAGTTTGCATCTCTCTATGCTATGCCAACACTCCCCACTCCCCCTCAGGCCAGAACTAAGCCAAGGTCAGAAACAAAGCCTATGAACTTGTGCCTTGTAAGAGTCTTTGTCAGAATCTCTGCTACCATCTCAGCTATTCAGAAATACTGAAGTATGAGTGTCTTGTTAACCTTGTCTTAAAGGAAATGGTTCTGGATATCAAAATCCTTTATCCTTGCATGAAACTGTTGATCCAGAGAGAGGGCAATATCAGCCTGATTATTGCAGTAAAGAATGCTAGGCTTGGTTTGATTAGATAGAAGTTGTCAAAGCCAAACTATGTGATGAGAGGCAAGGTTTGCTGCCATGAATTCAGCTTCACATGTTGAAAGAGCACTTAAAGTTTGTTTCTTGGAGGTTGTTAGGGCAACACAGGCTGACTAAGTCTGCTCACCTAAGAGTGCCAAGAGTCTAAGCAGGCAACAAGGAAGTGGAGTAGACCTGATGACTAAGACCTATCTACAGTATAGGTACCTGTG